ACTGACTTTCTGCTTCTGCATGTTGAAGTCGGTACACGTATGTTCGGCAAACATGTCGTACTCGCGGAAGGTGTCCTTGTCCAAGAGCAATTCGATCCGTTCGCGTGCGGTCAGCTTTCCCTAAATATTCCAGGGATAAAAACGGTGGTGTAAATTACCCAGTTAGTGCCACTTCATCGCCAACGTACTCGGGCATGTTGCGTATCAATCCTCTTCTGTCCACCACCGAGTAAAGCTTTCGCTCGTGTCTTCTCAATATGATCCGCCACTTTCACCGTGTGCGCGATTGAGCTTGCCATACGAGCGACCTGAAATAGGACCTTATTTGTGCATCGAGACCTTATTGGTACCCCTTTATAGCAATAATATTCAGTGTTTACCTTCTGCACACCATAACTGTAACCCACCAGTGGATTGGCGAACCTTGAGACGAGCATGATCGAATTGTCTAAACGGATTATTAAGCAATTTGTAATAATAGCATATTATTAATAGCAGTCAAATGTGATGTAAGGATGGAAGACGAGCTTAAGCAAAATAATGGACAGGGGGGAGGGGGGAGGATGGGAACGAAACACATGAAAAAAAAAAGTGCGCCATACTTATGGTGCAATCTACGATGTGCTTCCCAACAGGCAAATGAATGTGTGCCATCCCCACCATACAAAAGCCACTTGTACGGACCATCTCACATTGAGCATTCCCAACCCCAAGCTTCCACAATGTTTCCACGTGGACAATTGGTGGAAGCAACCCACCCCTGACATCGCAGGCATCTACTGCATCCAACAGTTAAGAATGAATTCAACATCGAAATGAAAGGACAGCTATGCAATGAGCACAACATCATTCTAGCGTGGTGGTTGGGACCCACAAGGAATGAGAAGAGAATGAGTGAAGAGAAAAAATGATTATTTAGAATGAAGCACAAGGTGGAGCCAGGAGCTCGATCCAAACGACCTCACCCGGCCAGCGCACAGAAGCGAATGACGCCGTGAGGCGAAATTTAGGCCAGAGCAATTCAGTACGGTAAACCTATGACAATTTGGAATGAGCTTCAAGGCAAATCGTGTTAGGACCATTGAAACCGTAACCTCACCTGTGACACTGGTCCACGTTTTCCAACAACTGATTGCAGATCACCGAACCTTGAATGTTACTTTTTAGGTTTTTTATTTAATTCCATGAACGGTTCGCGTACGTATCAACAAGAGCGTCATATTCACAATTTACTTATACAAAAATTGTAATATCTTTTAAGAAGGATGTCAAACTGTTACGAAAACGAGTGACTGCAATAGAACAAACGCAGGACTACTCCGCCCACGTTCCGTTCGTAAACGAGTGATGATAGCCTTATCAGTCTTCAGGTATGTACAATGACGAATATAAAAAATAATTTTGATGGACTCGGAGAATACCAAGATGTGAAGGGAAAGGTTTCTGCACTCGTTGGTTATCTGAACCAACGAACACTTAGAACTCGCTCATGTGCTTAATTTGATTTTTCAAATGAGAACACCTTTTCCCTTCATTTCTAATGAACGGTGGTATTTTACACTCATGCTGTCACTAACAATTTTCGGAACATTTTCGCAAACATCACAGTGCACGACAACGTTACTGCTACCGCAAGAATATTGAAAAAAAAAGTTTGTGAAGTGACTAGCCATGATTTATGTAAGTTTTCCGCAAGGTGTTTAACCGTCAGTTCAGAAACTGATAAATGAAGCCCTCAGATGATTGTGAGAATGGTCCGGGCCCCGCCCAACTAATTATTGATTGGTGCTGTCGAGGAAACTAAACTGATTCTTATCATACCTAGACCCAAGGTGGGTACTACAGGTAGTCCCTGTTTGTTTAGGCTTCAACAAGTACTGGCTGCACAGTTTCATCCACGAAA